TTTGACGTCTTTTATCGTGTATAAATAAAGGTTGTATGTATGTATGTATGTATGTATGTATGTATGTATGTATGTATGCAGAACTGCTTCAGTCGCCAACTTACCCCCGAAAGCACAGAAAGAATTGAATGCAGAAGTTCAGAACTTTATCAGAAGCCAACAAACACCGTCAAGAAATCAACTTATCTGGATGAACTGTCCTATAATGAACTTTTGGACTGAACGAACAAATGGTCTTGAGGCGAAACTTCTTTCAGTGGAGAGCATCAAAGAATTCATCAAACGCAAAAAAATGGAGGATGCCAATTCGGAGCCAATCGAGTGTGAGAAAGTGACAACCACGATCGTCCATGCCATGTGCTTCTTCTGGTAAACGAAGGAGAACTTCTGCCACTGTAATTAAGACCAAATGGTTGTTTTTGTAATACGTATTGGGCACGTTTTTGATGATAGAGGTGAAGTTGCTGAAAGCTGCTACTGTAAATTTCCGCTCCGAAGTTTAGTAAAGGTTGACAAGAGGCAATCCGCTCTACATATCGATGGTACTACTACGTACTGGAGTGTTGAGCTCCTGAAATTAAATTTCAGAAATCAAAGCGAACACTTTAGTTGAGGCCACCGTAGCATTTGTCAAAAAAGTCTCTAATAAAGAAAACTGCCGTCTTGGGAGCCTCTAAAAATCTCATGATTACGCCAGATTATAAGTTTCAAACGCGGGCGTGGAATCCACCGCGAGAAAACCCTGATCTTGAGGACAAACTCTCCATGTTACGCAAATAACAGTGAAGAAACATAAGTCGCATTGGAAGACGAATCCCGCATAGCGGGAGTGAGGAGAACTAGCTAGAACTTCACGAACTGAAAATTTTGGGCTTGTCAAGCTGATGTGTTAGTTTTAAGAACATCAAATTTCCAAGGGCAACTGCTAGTATCAGACCGATAGTTCCGAGACATAAACACTCTATTGTTCATTGTTCACAACTAATTTTTATTCCGCTCGCCAGTTCAAAAATCATCAGTTGCTTATTTTCTTTAAGCCCGCTTGTTTACGGAAACATTTTCATGGACGAGTACTATCCGTCCGGGTATTTTCCTCGGACGGGCACTATGGGCTAATAGTGTCTCTCCGCGAATGAACACTATCGCGTCACGTGACCAAGTTAAACCAATAAGAATCGGAGAATATTTAGTGGTGAACTATAACGCGCGATAGTTGACGAGGGCGCACCCGAGTTAACTCAGCATCACGCATAGAAATCGAAAGCGAATTATCTAATAGACTTAGTATAAATCTACTAGTCGTTCAAAACCTTATCTAAATCCCTGCAAAATTGTAATCTTTCAGAGTGTCTACTATGCTCGCCCTCGTTGTCTATGAGCGGCCACGCCTTGTTGACTATTCGCTCACGGCAAACTCGGACTCGTAGTCAGTGTAATTGTTTAAAGTAGGTACTTCAGTGTATAGTATCACTGTATATTTTGGCGAACCTGTTGGAAGAGGCAAAATACAAATGAAGAATGAAAAATGGGCAGCGATACCACGCAACAATAGATTCTGACATCTAAATGAGTTAAGTATTGTAAACAACCCGTTAAGCAGGTTTTGTGGCGGGTCATCTGTACAAAAACACGGAGCTTACCGAATTACCACAAATGCTCACGCCATCATTTGCTGTTTTTTTTTTTTTTCTCGCGTTCAGCTTTGAGACTGTTACAGAACTCGCTTCTCTTCCAAACTGGAAGAAAATTATACTCTTAACCATTTTCTCTTGGATTACACCAAAACAGCTCAGGCTACATCAATAAATGCCTCAAATGGTGTGTGTTTAATTATGTTAAAAAACCAGATGTATTAATCTTGGCATTCAGCGAATGCAGCCTGAGAGTAATACTTCTTCTTTTTGTACTGTTATAAAGCACAAAAGGAAGTGACGAGAAGTGTAGGATGTAACCCGAGCTCCGGGCGAGTCTTTCTCCCCCTACTTCTGATTCAAGAGTGTCAGGAGCGTTTTCGTCACTTTCTTGAGTGTTCTCTAACAGAACAGAGCACGGTCAAACCCTTTGTATTTGTTAATTGATATACGGGGCTTAGTCACGAAAATGCCACGCGACAATTATGAGTCACGAAATGAAACCTAACCTGGCGCGATTTCTAACTTCTGCTGATTGACAGCACTACTACACATTCTATTGAAACCCTCGAACCACTCCTCAGATCACTCCACAACGTCAAACAATGTTTTCCATTTAATGGTCAAACGTTTTACAGGGCGTTAACACCAATTACGGACTGGGTATACTTAAACAGCAATCGACGAGCGAGCTGACGAAGTGAAGCTAACTCTCACAGAATTTGCACAAATTAGCACTGTCATCCTGTTATCTTGTGACCCTGTAATTGGTAACCTCCCCGTTATCCCAGTTGTTACGTGCTGAACGTGCTCAACCGCGCCGGAGGTTGGGATTGAGAATATCCATGTATGGATTTGGTGGCACAATGGTGGACGGTGAAGATTTGATTAAGTTAGACTGTCTTGTTACCAAGATTTAGCGACGAAAATCTCCGAAATGCGACGAAATATAGCTGCAGTATGAGTTTGAATTCTAGATTTGCTTCTGCTAGTCAGCTTGGACAAAGAAATTTGCCATATACAGCTGACAGTTATCGTAACTCAAGTCGTGAAAATGCACATGAGAGGCAGGCTTCTTCATCGGCCTCGATCACTCTGGATGAGAACTTGTCTAGGTTATTCGAGTGTATGAGACTGGAATATGGCACGTAAGTTGGACCGACAATCTTCTCGCTCCTTCTGAAGTATAGCAGTATTTGTTATGGCAGAAATTGCAGATTTCAGGGCAAGCACTACTTCATAGGTCTTCTATGAAGACTTGCATGGCAGAGAAGGTTTCAAATAATAAGTGTTTTTCTATGGTGAATCAATTCATAATTTTCTATGGTGAATCAATTCAACAAAGAGATAAATGTTGTTAAATTCCTTGTTAATTAGTTTGTGTTTATCGCATTGAATACTTTCTACCACCTGATCTCTTGAACTCTTATGTAAGACTGTTAATATACAATTCATTGTTACAGGAAACATTGATTGAGGAGGCTCTGTTCTAATAAATTACGATTAGCTCGAATTTTTTGTCACTTGAACTCGTCAGCTCGTTGTGGACATTATTTAGAAATACTTTCATATTTTGAAGTGTTAAAAATGGTTTGAGGACACTTTCACCACCCAAGTGAAATAATGGTAGTAAAGTTTTTTGCTTATAAATCTTACTACTGTAGTAGGTAGACTTTGTGGAACAGCTGCCATTGGAAAGAAAAGGAAGTGTTTTGTGTCACATGGCTTGGACGTGTCAAATGAAAAGGCTAAAGCATGTTAACATTCCTTCACTGAGTTTGCTTTTTTGCTATTCTTTTTGTCCTTGCTATATTCTCAGAGAATGATAATTCAGTTGAAAGTTTTTGTAACATTTTCTATATCTTTTTAATTTTTTTTGTTAAAAAATTATTCTTCCCTTTTTATGTTTTTATGACAATAGACTATGAGTAGTCGCTCCTTTGCTTAGTCTGTCCTCCGTCGCCCTCGGACGAAATTCTCGCCACCAGGATTTTGCGTGCCCTTTTCTTTGTAGCAGTTTTTTGTGTGGACTAAGCGAAAGAGGGACTACTTGTAGCCTATTATGACAACTGTTTTAAAGAATAGCTTGTTCTTATTTTGTGGCTTAAACCACATAAGCTTAATTCAAAGTCACTTGCTGCTAAGAACTGTTGTTGTGTATGCCTCTGTAAAAGTAGTCTACCTTTTTGGGTAGTACCAAAAGAAGTCAGTACGAAAATCATAACAAACCATACACAGAGTCATAATGGTGGAATCTACATCTAGAGCCGTGATCACGTATTTATGCTCTTTTAAATTGTGCACACTGATCCTCATATGCATATGGTTGAAATTGCTTGAAATGACCTATTAAACAAAGAGTTTATCAAGTTGTCCACATACTACCAGACATTTGGGAAATTATCCCCGATCCTTTCTAACCACCACCTAGGAAATAAGTTTTGGAAGTCAGAGCCTCAAGTGATTAAAGTGGTACAAGGCAGCAAAAACCTCTTGTCACTCCAGGAAATAAATACCTTCCAGTTCCATTTCCATTAACAGAGTCTTTTTTTTTTATTTAATGTAGTGGAGGTTTTCTGATTTCTCCAAAGTGGAAGAATTTCCGAAGTCAGAAGTTACAGTTTGCTGAAAAGACACGGTTGAACAATGCAATTTGGAGGTGCTGGCATATCCAATGTGAGTTTCTTTCAACACTGTGTTACATCACATGTTTCTTTTTGGTTGAAACAACTATACCATGTGCAGTTATTTCAGCCTTTGTTTTTTCATTGATATATATGACTGAGAAAATTTCTTCATTGTAATTGGTTGAGAGGAGGCAAACCTATTGTCAATGGGCCATAATCATATTCTTGGGATCGGACTGTAACTTGCTTACAATGGAGGCTTATGTGGGGGAATATCACTAAAAAGAGATTAACTCCATTTGCATCTGTGAAGACTCCTCACATTAGCCTCAGTTGCAAGCTACTTCCAGTTCAATACCAAGAATACAAATATGGTCTATGAAGTTAAATTTGTAGTGTAATTTTTTACAGTCAGTCACAGGCATGTTCGTAATTTCCTTAATCATATAACAATGAGTGATCATATGAAAGCTCAAGCAATATTGAGAATTTGCAATACTCATGATATTTGAAATTTTGTTTTCCAGTGGCACTTGTGTATAGGTTGGTTTAATCTGAGAGTATTTTAAAATATCCTTAAATGTGCTCACATTTGTATGATTACCTTCACTAACAGTTTTTAATGATTTTCCTACACATGTACTGTACATACCTTATTTAAAATAAAAGATATTGATTCTAAGCAATACGTGTGAAATCAAAGACATCCTGTACATTTAATTACTGCAAATAAAGGAGGTATGTAAATGCTTCACAATTCTGACTGGACATATTTTCTTCTCATACACAGATTCCAAAGGGAAACGCCCGTTGTTTTGTCAGTTTGTACCTCCCCTTTCTGAGGAAAAGGAACCTTTTAAGAAGAAACCATTGGTAAGTTGGGTTTTTTTTATAATTTGGAGGAAATTATTAGGAAAGATAGGTTTTGATTCAGTCAGGATATATCACCAAGAACTTACACGCTTCTGAACAAAATGGTGATATTCCAAATGTAACTTGCATTACTACTCCTTCTAGCTTCATGTTTCATATTGCTGCATGCCTGAAGAGGTTATGTGGAGGTTTCATGGCATGTCTGTAAAGTAGCTATTTAGCTAAGCGCATTTGACCATGTTAAATAGAGGTTATCTCTTATCTCTATCTGTGACCTCAGCTCCTGGGTTCAATGTTACTGTGACACAATATGTTTCCTAATTTAACATTTTTCTTTGTTTGTAATATGCACGTACTTGTAACACTATAAGTCATAGCCTCGCATATTTGTTTTGCCTGTTATCGTGGTAACACTTATGTGTTTTGTTTGTCACAAAGACTGTCATACTTGAAGGACGTTACTGGCGAAGAAAGTTGGAAGCTGTTGCAAGAGAGTACAAGAAGCTAAGAATTTACTACAAAAAGGTTGGTGTTGTAAATAA